ACAGGACAAGATAACTTTTGTTATTCCAAGCCATTTACAGGCGCCTACGTACAAGTTAGATAGGAAGCCATCTGCTCAGACAAAGGCACCAGAAAAAAACCCAAATAAGAGATAGGAGCCTCTCAATAAATTGTCAAGTTGACCCTTTAGAGTATGGAATGATGAAAGAAATGACTTAACTGAATAAGCAGGAGGGGGAGAGTTTCTTAGGAGTAGAGTGTATAAAATGTATTGTTTGAATGCTAGTCTTTGCTCTCCTTGTACTCAATCCACTTGAGAGGAGACTTGGGGGCCGCCTTTGCAAACGCTTTTTATTTTTCTGTAAATAAACTTTTTTGAATTGTGAACCAGACTTGTCTCTGCATTGTGAGGATTTAATAATTGGGTTTTTATCTCACAATCTTGGCGCCCAACGTGTGGCTTGAATGCCTCATTTGGGGGTTCCCCTCAGTTATTCTGGGGGCGCGCCGGTTGATTTCAACTGCCTAGAGTCATCTGAGACTGGACTTCCATTTGCAGGGCCCGTGCCAAAACTAAATTGACAGCTCTGGTCTGCAATATCAAAAGGAAACAGAGGGAGTCAACAACTGAGACCCCAGGATCAGGCAACTCTGTGCACTTTTGCCCTGAAGGAGGGAAACATGCAATTGTACCTGGGTGGTCAGGAGAACAATTGTGGGAGGTTTTTCAATAACAGCAGTGTGTGTGTGCTGGACTCTGTTCTGGGAACACTAGTGAGTCCAAAGTGAGTGCGGACCTGAAAGGTTGTGGTTCCTTACTCCCGCGAGGGGGAAGGCCAGCCTGAAGGGAAGCAAACTGGTGTGTGGATTTGGAGTGGCCGTAAAATCGAGAACCTTAGGAAACCATAGTCAGGAAAACTCTCAAGGGAATGGGGAATAGTTGTAGTTGTGTTGAATCTAGGGTTAAGTAGTTTGGAACTACTGTCTGGAACCGGTGATCTAGAGAGAGAAAAAAAGATTAGGGCTGTGTTAGCCCACTGGGACACATTGAAAAGTTGTCTTTAAAAAGAAAAGTGGAGTTCAAACTTGTGTGAGAGCCCTGGCCAGGTGCAAACAATGTGTGAAGGGCTCTATACATCTTGATCTTTAAAGATAAGCCAGCATCTGCTGGGAGATTCAAGATAGATAGGTAAATAGATAGATGATAGATAGATGATAGATAGATAGATAGATAGATAGATAGATAGATAGATAGATAGATAGGAGTCAGAGTTTCACCCCCAGGGCGGAAATATGTAATAACAATCAAACAAGTGCTTCTAAGTGTAACTTTGAGTAAAAGTGAGAAGTTCACTAAAACAGTTAGGAAGAATCCTGAATTGCAAATAGACCCGACTAGTCCTTTAGGGAAAATATTTAAAGGTTGGGAAGCCCCTCCATACGTTGGGCTGACCAAACAAGTTATGGTTAGCTTATGCTGTTATGTCTGGTAGGAAGACCTAGGAGTAGAAAGAAAGAAATACTGCAGTGTTATAAAGATCTTGAGAATTTACCATTCTCTAAAGAGCCAGAAAACTGTGAAAGAACTAAGAATAAAGAAGAAAAGGTTTATTGTTTTTTCCCACCCGGGGTTTAGCAGGTAATAAAAAAAAGGTAAAGCCTGTCTAAATGGGA